AGGGGAAAAAATTAAATACCAGGTTTAATTGCTTAGTTATGAAAGCTACTGTTACTTTTCCATTATTTGTGAATTCTGCACCCACAATCTAACAGATCCAAAATATTCAGGAAAAATTCTACCTGTTCTAAACATTTTTTCCTCCTGCCATTAATCCCTAAACAGTATTTTTATAGTGCTAGCATTGTACTGGTAGGGTAAATAATTCAGAGATGATCAAAAGCATACAGGAGTATGCACAGAGGCTACATGGCAAACATTATGTCACAATGCCATTTTCTATAAGGAACTTCACCATGTAAAGATTTCAGTATCCAAGGGAGTTATTGGCACAAACCCCCATTGATACTGAGGTATGCATGTTCACAGAAAAAGGAGCAAGAATGACAATTGTTATTTCCAAATTGTACATTACCACAATGTTTCCAAAACCAAAAAGAATAAATGGGGTGGTAGCCAGGATTGTGGTGAATGGACTAGGTACAGGGACACTCTCAACTGTGTCAGGTTTTTTTAGCTCTATAAATGCCACACAAAACTTTGTCAGCTCCTCGATTTGGGACAGTTTTCTTGTACTTTTCAAAGTTTCTACAGCAATTATTTAACATTTTTATGAACAGAGTTGCTGAGAAACTCAAAGCTAAACCAGCTTAAATTCAGAAAAAGGCCTTTATGTTTCATCCACAGCACATTATTTAGGTCATGTTATTTTAGTTTGCAGGTAAACGAGCTTTGTTTTTCCTTCTTTAACAAATTTGCAATGAAAGTAAGTCTAACAAAGCATGAGCTTTAAAGGTAGACACAATCTCCTTTTGGGTCTGTTTTCTTCCAGATGACAGGAAGTTGTCCAAGGTCACCTAAGATGACAGTTTGTGGCACCTTGCCCAAAGAAGTTGCCTTCATAAAGTACACCACTTCCATGAGGCCAAGGCAGTTTGGATACCAACAGAACTTATTAGGGATGAAAGATCCAAAAATTTAGTAGAATGGGTAGGAAAGGCTACACAAACAGGAACACTTGACCAACTGCAAATGGGATGAAGGGAGTGAGATAAGAAATTAACCAGATATGCCAAGTCCTTGTTGAGGCTTACTCCAACAAAGCACAGAACAGCCAGAAATCACACAGAGGGAGAGAATGGTCAGTGTACTCCAGACTGAGATGCACTATGCTATCAAAGCTATTTTCTCCTGAACTGCTTCTAGAGACATCTCTAAACCATTCCCTAGTAGTGGTCCTAGAGGGTGATCCTTAGAGTAGCTATGTGGTTAGTACACCTGAAATTAATGAGAAAGGAAAGTGTATCCCTCACTCTGCAATTGAAAACTCAGGTAGACAAACTAGAAAACAAATGGCAAAATCAGTACCACTGACTTCAAAGCCCACTGAGGGGCTGGATGTTAGTCATGAATCCTTTAAGCATGGCCAAAGTCAGAATAATCAATGACTTAACTAATTCTGCCTCACTGCCAAACAAATTTCCCAATATCAAAATCTATCTAGAAAGATGTGACCATCAGGCACTTGTCACCCAGATTTCCTTACCATGACAGCTATACCCTGGAACTGTGAGCCAGAATAAACCCCTTCTCCCTTTAGGTTGCTCAAGTGGGAGAAAAGAATTATTACAGGCACATGGTGCTTTATGAAAGTACACAGGTAATCAGTAGCCGTTAATATTCATGAGGGAATATTTAGAGTAATTAGCCAAACATGCTTGGCTGCTGATAAAGAGAATTAAAGTTCTCAACTTATCAAGTGCTGTCTTCATTTAGTAGGGAGTTTAGTATGCATCTTTGAAAAGGGCTGACATAAATTCATGTACTAAGTTCAAATTTTGTATTTTAGTATTTTTTTTAAAAAGTAACTTAGTTATTAATAAAATTAAGCATAATTTCCTGTCCTCATATATTCTGGTTAGAGAACAGAAGAGCTATTGTGACTATAATGAGGTCACAATCCTTTCAAAATACAACTTTTTTCTACATTGACCCATTGGGGTAATAACCTCAAATGTGACCCTTCTTATACCCACAGGAAATACCACCCCCTCCTTCAGCAAAACATGATCTTCCTCTATGCAAAGTCATTTAACTACCAAATTCACCAAGGAGACAGGGAAAAAAAAAAGAAATGGCAAATGTGTAAGTACAAGTACATCAGGCACATCATCAAACCCTCTCACTGCTCATCTACCTCATCCTACTTGTAATTCTCTATACTTCCTGTCCGGTTTCCATTTTTGACACGTCAGGGAAAATTAAGCAATTCAATCTGATAAAGCATTCGTAGAGACAACAGCTACAAAGCAGCACGAGTGAGGAGGGCCGGGGAGAGCCGTGCAAGCCCCAGTGGAAGTCACCAACTCTCTGAATCTCACGGAACCTGAGGGAAGCGCTGTGTAAGCTGCGTAAACTATTCGATCCACAATGGTGCTGCACTGTCATTCACATGGTATTTCGGTGCTGTGAAGTATCTAATATGCTTTAGCAGTATTTCCACTCAAAACCAATGAATGTGTTAATGTTCAAAGAAGCAGAGCTGAAAGAGCTCCTCATCCGTTGAGTCTCATTCTTCAATATGCAAATAACCCATTTTAACAGAAGACACAGATGCAAGTAAGCACAAATAAACTTTAATGATTTATGGTAAACAAAAGTGAAGCATAAATCCAGTATAGAAAAATGAAAATTACACGCACTTCTACATAAGGAAGCACAACCTCCAATGTTAAGTGCTTAAGATAAACCAATTGTATAAAAATTAGTCTCAAGAGCACTCAGAAATACTACTACTAGTGAGGAGAGGGAAGAGGAGAGGGAAAATGAGAGGGAGGAGGAAGAAACCAAGCAAATGAACAAACAGGAACAGGAACCTCTGAAGGTGTTTTTAAAAACAGGAATTCATAGCAAGGAACAGAAACCTGATCAGGAAAAAGATCTGTGATCCAACAGAAAGCTACTTAACGGTCAAAATAAATAAGTCGCCACAATCCAAACCCAAATTTTATATTACTTACTCCAAGTGTTACCTAACCCCTCAGATTCACCAGGAATAAAATACAAGCCCAACACTAAGAGTTGTAGACTTCCTAAGCTAATTCAGCCTGGAAGGTCAGGGTCAGGAAAATATATTATTTTATTCATGTAACACACCTGTTGACATGAAAAAGTAATCTATCAAAGGACTTAGGGAAAACATTTTCAAATGATTAGCAGAATATCAAACCTTCTTAGTAAGCGAACCTCAAAATGAGTAGCTTTGCAGCCTCTTGGTGTTCTGAATTAGAGCCATGCTATCATCCCCAAGCTGTCACGCTGTCACAGTCTGCACATGAGGGACACAACTGGCAGTTTTACAGTATCTCCTTCCCCAAACTGTAGTATCATGAATCAATTTCTGGGAAGATTTACCAAAGTTCTCTTCTTAAAAGGCACTTTAAGATGATCTAGCATGCTGATTCACAATGACAGCTCACAGGCCAGAAGGGATGAGCTGCCAGTGGGGATGCGCTCAGGTATGCCATATAGTTTTCCACCTTGACTGTTTTAGTATCAGGAGAATGTGCTTCTCACCCATACTTCTCTATTCATTGCTATGGTCATTTTGTAGGGAATGATAAAAATGGTATAAATCAAGTAATCTCCAATTTCTGCCTACCCACCAACGTAAAAACTGCAACAAAATTAAAACTGAGTTCAAAGCCAACCTAGTTAACTTAGAAAGACTGTCTCACAATAAATAAAAGGTTGGGGATATAGCTCAGTGGCAGATCACTTGGCATGTTTGGTCCTAGATTTAACTTAATTTCAGGTGTCAAAAGAACACATAGGGATATAGCCTAGTGGCAGAGCACTCTGTCTAGCATACATAAGACCCTAACTTCCATACCCAGTATCACAAACAAAAGAGACGGAAAGAGAAAAGGAGGGAGAGAGAAAGGAAGGAGGAGGAGGTGAAGGAGGAGTAGGAGGAGGAGGAGAAGGAGAAGAAGGGATGAAGAGCTTACCTAAACCTATTTTGAAATACCCAGCAAGGTTTACCACAAACAGGTCACGTCTAATCTAATATACTGACAGTTTTCTAAACTGGTAAGACCTTCTAGCAAATGCTGATCATAAAGTATGTTGCAGAAAATAGAAATATGACCAAATACACAGTAAACAGCCAATAAAATGATGCAGAACAAGCCTCTTGCTGATCTCACCACTACCACTCAATAATGAATGGTTTAAGTCATGATTTCTTGATTACACAAGATTTTAAAAGGAATAAAAATGAAGGAAAGCCAGGAAATTTAAACGAAAAAACAATGTAAAGATAAATACATACAGAATTTTACAACTATGGTGACTTATTTAGATAGATGCTCTCTTTCCATTACAACAAAGACAAAATAAATCATGACACTGTTCACTAAAGGATGACAAGTTAAAATGTTGAAACAGTAATGACAGACCACTTGGAGATTCAGCCAAATGTTCTGAGGTCATCTCAGCTACTGATCTTTGATAGATGATAAACAGAACTAAAAGACATGATGAATCAAAACCACAGGCCACTTACAGAATGAAAACTTTTGTAGTTCTAGGGATGGAATCCAATGCCTGATGCATGGCTCTGAGTGACGCTCCACTCTACAGAGAAGTAAAATCTTAAACAGTAGTTTTGGTATCTAAATGAATTCCTAATCTAGAATAATTTGGAGGGGTTGGTTGGGTTTTTTTTTGTTTTGCTTTTTTTAATTCAAAAGAAAAAAAAATGTGAATGGGTCTACTTATCCATAAAAATACGAATGAGGAAAAGTTTAACAACGGACTTTAACAACTAGTTTAACATTCTCATAGGCCATTCACATTCAGCTTGAAATGTTTGCCTGGTAAGACATAGTCAACTGTCAAGAGGAAGTAGTTCAAAGGCCATCACACAGTTGATAAGCCAGCTGGAAGGGGCCATCCAGACTTTGCCCTGCCGAACCCTTTCTGGGCGACAGTGAAACACATCTTCATAGACGATGTACTGCGTGCAGAAGCGCTGGTCAGAATCAGGTTGGGCATGGTACGCAACAGTGTTGATGGTCTGAGTCACATCACTGTCTGGTTTGGGTTTTCTACTGAGGACCTTGCCCCCTGCTGCATCAACTAGTTTAAGAAGGCTGTCCTTTGGATGATGTATGAAGTTTCCCCAAAAAAAGAAGTAGCATCCATCAAACAGTCTTGGCAACTGAAATAGCAAGAAAAAAATGTTAAGAGCAGATCAAAATATTTTTAAACTTTGTATATGAAGAGCATAAAAACAATGGCCATGGGCTGCTAGGAAGTTTCTTAAGAAGTGTGGCCTTGGGGTTCCACAAATGTATTGCCAGGGCACAATAGATTATGAATGAAATAATGGCTACAAATCCAATGAGCCAAAAAACATTTCTGTGTACTCCATATGAAAAAAAGAATGTCACAATTCTATCCTATGGGAAATTTTCTTTGTCACTTCTAAAACGCTTACATATATCAACAAGATAATGGAATGTTACCATTAAAACTGCAGTATGTAGCAATAAAGACATCTGGAAACTAAATTCCAGCAGCAGCTCTAAGTTTTCAAGCTACTTCCTGTCTCAGAGATTTACCTCAGATTCTGAAAGGTTTATGGGAACATTCACGATGCCAAAAATCCATTAAGAGTGCGAAATTATTACCTTCTGGATTTTACTGCACATCTTGATCATCTTTCAGAATCAAGTGCTTGAAATAAGCACAATTAAAATTTTAATCTGTCACCTGTACTTGCTGAAAGGGCAGACAAAGTTTTTCTGGATGGGGATAACATGAAGTCATAAGAACAGAGAAAGTAGGATCAGGAGGAAATACCAGCTGTTCTTTGTTGCGCCTGCTTCTCGGCGGACCTTCTGGAACTTCATACTTCTCTTCCTGCTCGCACACTTTGCTTTTCAGACAGGCTTTCACCCCTGAAAGGAAATAATTACAAACCAAAATAAAATAAAGGAAGCATTATTTCCCTGTCACTGAAATTAAGCAATTTATCCAAGCTGTTTCTTCTTCATGGTTGTCCTAAATACTCCAGGGGAAAAAAACAAAAACAAAAAACCCTCACTTATAACAGAAGAAAACATAATAGAGCTGGGCTTAGTAAGTAAAGTAAGGTACTTGCAATGCAAACAGGAGGGCGTGAGTTTGGATCTCGAGCATACATGTAAATGACAGGTACACCCGCACACACCTGTAACCCCAGTCCTGGATCCCCCAGAGCTCACTGGCCAGTCAGTCTAGCCAAAATGGTGAACTCCAGGTGCTGTGAGACATTGTCCCCAAAACTAAGCTAAAGAGCAATAGAAGAACATACCTGAAGTCAATCTCTGGCATATACACGTACAAATGTACACACACACATAACACCAGAGACAGAGACAGAGACAGACAGACAGAGAGAAAGAGCTAGCTTCCTTTCATTTGGAGGATTAGGCAACAAATGAATGACAGTCCAGAATCTGAACTGAGCATTTAATATCTGTCTACTCACTTTGGCAATTCTACCTGTTAGACTCCAATGATCTAAAGTTAGGAAGGCAATTTCGTCCACAGCACCCAGCTCAAATGGCCATACAACCAGGGCTCAAGAGGACCTGTTAAAATAAATACTAAGCAGAGTCCAAGACACCCTTGGGATTTGACAGCAAAGTCAATCCCGTAGGGAAGACTTGGTTGATAGTCCTAAAACAAAGCATTTTTCTGATGGCTTGGACAAGTGTGCTGACAATTTCAGGTTAAAAGGAAATGTATTACTGTCTGCCAGGTGGAAAAGTCCTAACCAAGGCCATTAGCAGACAGCCAGCATCAGCTGTCTGGCTATGTTCTAAATAAATAAAATGCCCAAGACCAATTACACAGGAAATACCAAACATAGCAGCAGCAGGTTATAGTTCTGAAGGTGGCTAGCGAGCAAGGGAAGGAACTCATGGTGTGTATACACATATACATCACGATCCTGGGTTTGATGCATATTTAAATTTGACATCTGAATTCAAATGACTTAGCTATTACAATTGTTTGTTTTGAGATAATTATACAGACTTCAAACTGAAGTCTTGATTTTGTTGACTATGAAAACAAAATGTAATTAACAATACCACCTAACCTCACAGTTTCTATGCATAAAATACAAGAAATGATCTCAAAACCAATTTTTTTTTTTCGGTCTTTTTGAAACAGGGTCTTTTTTAGCTCCACATAGCCTAGAACTCACCATAAAGACCAGGCTGGCCTTGATCTCACAGAGATCTGCCTGCCTTTGCCTCCCCAGTGATGGATTAAAGTATGCCCCACCACAACTTGCTATTTATCTTTGAGATTACTTTGCTCACCAAATTCAATTTTATTACTGAGGAAACAACAGGAGAGTAGGAATATAATAAAAGAAAATCAGTTACAGTTCAAATTCTTAGCTATTTTAAAGTAGTGTAAGATGTGAAAATGTTGTATCAGTCACTGTTGTCTAAGAGCTTACAATTTAACCAGAAGAAACCTGTATCTACATGAATATATACTTTTGATTGGAAATTAGATATATGGGCTGGAAATATATCAACATCCTAATAAAACACTTGAGAAATGCCAGTGACAGATTCCACTTAAGGCCAGTGTCTCCTCCCAGAACTCTGTGTGTCAGTAAAAGGCTTCTTTCTGAGGAGAACCTCCTAGGATCATGCTTGAAACAGACAGATCCACTCATGGGGGAGAAAGGAAAAGCGGTGATAGTTGTGATGATTATAACAGTTACCTTGAGAACAAAAGATGACACAGGATAAGACACAGAAACTGCAGTCCGTGAGTCAGCAACAGTTCACTTTAGCCTGACCTAGACTTTGAGTTAAAAGTTTTCTCTTTTACTACTTCAAACTGGAATAATAATAAAACTTTTATGAGCCAATCTGCAAACATGGACTAAGGGACAAAAACTGAAAAATATGACACCTTTTAAATAAAAAACCTCTGTTTGGAATAAAACTCAAAACACAAGATTTTGTGAAAATATGTTCTTTTTTTTCTTGAAGCTTGAGGACAATTTTATTCAAATTTAAAAGAAAAATCCCAAAGCCTTTTGGAGTCAGGCCTCGGAAAGGTGGGCAGACCTAAGAGCCCCAAGTGGCTGCGTAGTGATGCCCTCAGGAGCGGGGTTTCTGAGAAGGAAAAGTACATTATTTCATGAGGGACAATTATTCCTCTTACCTCTTTGGCAGAGCTTAGGTGGATCCACCTTCCTGAGGCATGGTCTCCTAGCTAACAGGTGAATCTAACTGACTGGAATGTTAGGTCTCCACTCAGACTGGAGGTTGCATTCTCCGGACCAGAAGGAAATAGTTTTCCTCTAATGGACCTTCACAGCTACTGGGTTTTGTTTTGTTTTTTTTAACATCTAATAAGTAATTTATTGAAGTCTGCTTTGTATTTATCACTGCTCAGTCCCTGTGGGAGAACACAAAAGATTTCAGAAACCAGATACGCACTTCACAGAGTGAACATTTTGGAATTTTCATTCACTCCATGGTTAGAGAAAAAAAGAAATGAGTTTCTTTTAGGCGTGCTCTATGTTCATGGAATTCCCTGTGCTAGTTGTGTATTGTTAAGAAGATGTTGGTCAAGCACTTGGAAGTGAGATGTAATGCCCTCTACCTGATGTCTGACTTCTTGCTTCTTTAGATCTGCACCCCCAAAGAAAGAACAACCCATTTTCAAATATTACTGTGGAAAAATTAGTATAACACTTGAATTAAGTTAATCTAGAAACATGCTGTCCTCCATCCTTTACAGGTGGAATAAAGTGAACAGTATGTACCATTCTCAATCTCTGCAGCTCCACCAGTTCACACCAAATTCCATAAAAATCCAACACTTGTTCCCAATTTACATTCTATCTGCCAACTCCAGTCATTAAACAGATGATTCCATTTCCATTATTCCTGGACAGACTGTGAAGCCAAAGACCTACTTTAATATAAACATCCCTATTTTTTAAAAATAACTGAGAATTTCATACATGCACATAAGGTGTTTTAATCAAATCCATGCCCACTCCTTCGCCTCCAACTCCTCCCATATCTCCCCATCACTTTTTTTCTGATAACTTCATGTACTTTCTTCTTTAGATTTTTAAAATATTTAAAATTACAGAATTTAAGAGCTAGAAAAGACCTAGAAGATCAAGCCTAACTTTTCTCATTTTATAGATATAGAAAGTTAAATGCAAAAACAAAGCGACTGCCAAGATCACTGCTAAAAAAAAGCAAGGAAGAAGCTAATCACGTCCTAACACAGGCGCCCACCTTAGTGCTGCATCGTTATTATTAAGCACCTCCTACTTAGAAGAGGGATTCGTCTCTGCCTCTAAAAGGAAGTCTTGCCCATTTTTTAAAATTTCTTGCTACTTTTTAGTTTCATAATCTAACCTTAAGCTTTCATTAAAACTGGAAACTTTATCCTGCGTACTAAATTAAAATGAAATATCATGGCTTCAATTGTCTTCTATCAAAAAATAATCCTTTATAAAATTTAATTTACATGCATATTTTTACTCCTACTCATGAGTCAAAGACATTGCAGAGGTCACTGCGACAACCTCAGGCCAAAGGACAAATGATGGCAAAGGAAACTCTACATCACCCTGGAAATTCAGAGCCAGATACGATCTGTACTTCTGTCATAGTCGGTTATGGAACTCAGCTTAAAAGCTACAGTGAGAGATTAGCAGACTCGTGCTTTTGAGATTCACCTTTTCCCTCTTAGAATAACTGCTAACCTTCAGAACATGTTTACACCTGTTAGAAAGGTAATCTTCAAAATAAAAAATTCTGTTACATGCCATTTAGTTCAGATTATAGTAAAAGCAAAAATAAACTGGCTTTTTTTTTTCCAGTAAAAATGTTTGAATGCAGCCAGGCATTGTGGTCCACGCATAAGTCCCAGTACTCAGGAGTCAGAGGTAGGCAGGTATCTGTAAAATCAAGGCCAGTCTGGTCTACTTAGCAAGTTCCAAGTCAGCTAGAGCTAAAGGGAGACCCTGTCTCAAAAACAAAACAAAACAAAAAAACCCAACAACAACAACAACACCACGTTTGAATGCAAAGTTATTTCTAAAAGAAACAATTCTGGGGCTGGAGAGATGGCTCAGCTTTTAAGAGCACTGGCTATTCTTGCAAAGGACCTGGATTTGAATCCCAACACCCACAGGGCAGCTAACAAACTATCCTTAACCCCAGTTTCAAGAGATCTGACACCCTCTTCTTACTTCTGTGGGCAGTGCATGACATGGGTGCACTTATATACATGAGGCAATACATTGATACACATAAAAATAATAAATGTTTTAAAAAAGAAAAAGAACCAATTCTGGACCAATTTACCTTTAAGGTTCTTTAAAAACTGCTGCTGAAACATTATAGAAGTATTATGGTCTGGCTGTGGCAATGCAGTGGGATTCAAAATCTGTAGTGCGGCAAGAAATCATGCCCCACTAAAGCTTTAGTTCTTCCATCACTAAGGTTGTAAATATAAAATGAAACATTAAATGCTAAAAGGAAAGCTAGAATACCATTAAGAAAATATGGAAAATCAAGATGTTTATTGTCACTTCCTTGGGCAGAAAGGAGAACAATGTGAACAGAATTTGCTAGCTTATGGTCTGTTCTTCTCACACCTGTAAATCCTTTGCAACAAAACCCTCTTCTCATATGTTTTCATCAGTGGAGAGTCACTGTAGCAACAGTACTTTATGAGATCTATGAATGCTGTGTTACCTAATATTCATCTTTGGAGCAGAATGGATGGTTATAGTCTGAATGTGCAACCATTTAAAATAAAATTCTAATAAGCACAAGACCTAACCAAAGAACATTAAAAAGAATGTATTTTTAAGAGCTAAAACCACAATTTCTGTTGAAATTACAGAAAAAAA